GTTTGAAAAATACAAACCGCAAACCGAACTGAACCATGCGATTTTGTTAAAAGATGACCCAAACACATTCGAACCAAATGCGGTTTTTGTTGGGAGAGATTTTCACTAGGGAACAATGAATATTGTGGGACTTTTCTTTCTAGAGAAGGACCTTTGTGAGTGACACACCACATATTCACCCAAAACCTTAAGGTGATAGGTGTGTGGTTCTTCCACTTATGATTGCTCAAGTCTCCACATTCATAGCCAATATGAAACTATTATTCACAATACTCACACTTGTTATACTTAACACCCCCCTCAAGTGTGAGTCTATCCACAATGCTTCCACAATTCTCCCCCTTAAGCGGAAGCTTTTATCATCCACATACACTTGTACCACCATTAACACTCTTCAACGAGACATCTCTTAACCACCACCAGTGAGAAGTACTTTCGATACAAGTGAGTTGGTCCTTTACTCGAACCAAAGGCTCTGTTACCACTGCTGGGGAAGTTTTTTTTTCCACTAGAGAGCATTGGACATTGTGAGACTTCTTTTTTAGAGCAACATCTTTGTGAGATACACACCACATATTCACCCAAAATCTTAAGGTGATAGGTGTATGAGTTCTCCCACTTATAAATACTCAAGTTTTCACATTTCTACCAAATGTGGGACTATTATCCACACTACTCACATTTTCTATACTCAACAATCTCCCCTTTAAGTGTGAGTCTATATACTATGTTTCCCCTCAAGTAAAAATTCTTTTATCCACATACTTATACCACCGTTGGAAGACACCCTTATCTCGTCATGAGCACTACAACAGAACACGTCACCTAACCACCATGTTAGGAAGACTTTTGACACAAGGAGGCAGTCCCTTACTTGAACCTAACTTTGGTATCACTCATGGATTATCATGAGGGATAAGCATTCGAATTGGGTCAAACATTCACCTAAAGATTAAAGACTCACCCAAACAAGTGAGAGAGACGCCACATATTCACCAAAAACCTTAAGGTGTATAGATTCTCTCACTTATAAAGTGTTCAACCTCCACTTTTATAAGCAATGTAGAACTTAGAACTCACACTTATTTATCAATATAAGTCACACTTGTTTCTCAACAATCTCCCCTAAAGTGTGAGGCATTGTGTGATTAATTTTGTTTCTTGAATTCGTGTTGAATCTTGAACGGAATCGTAACAGAATCACATCTTATGATTTTGTAGGATTGGGAAACACAGTGTTTGGTGAGATATGAGTGACTTGCACAAGGTTGAAGATGAACGGAAATGGTAGCCTGAACACCAAGCTTCCAGTGTTCGATGGCAAGAACTGGAATCGTTGGATGATTCATATGCGTGTGTTGTTTGGCACTAAAGATGTTCTCGATCTCGTCAATGATGGTTACATTTCAGTTGCACTTCCAAAAAATACAACTGATGCGCAGAGAAATGCTCAACGTGATCTAAGGACGAAAGATCAGAAAGCCTTGTTTTACATCCATCAATGTGTGGATGTGAACGTGTTTGAGAAAATCGTTGATTCAATGATGGCGAAGGCTGCGTGAGACACACTAGTTAGGTGTTACAGTGGTGACACATCAATGAAGAAGGTGAAGTTTCGGTATCTAAGAAAGCAGTATGAGAATCTCAATATGAAGGACAATAAGAAGGTATCTAATATATCTCCAGAGTGATTCTGATCATGAATGAGATAAAGACTAGTGGAGAAACCCTCTCTGAACAAGTAATCATTGAGAAGGTATTGAGATCTCTTACTTCTCAGTTTGATTACATTGTGGTAGAAATAGAACATTCTAACATGAAAATTGAAGAGCTGCAAAGTAGTCTAGAAGTACAAGAATTACGTCTGATTGAGAGAACTTCTGAAAGAGAAGTAGAACAGCAGGCTCTGAAAGCAGCTTCTAGTAAGAAGCAGCAGAAGCAGTCTTGGTCAGAAGTTAGGAGAAGATTGGTGTTCAGAAGTCAAAAACCTCAACTTCTGATAGGCAGAAGAATGCTCAGAAGGGAAAAGAGAGGTATGACAAAAAGAGGATCCAGTGATACTATTGTAAGAAGTTTGACCACTTTGCTGCTGATTGTTGGTCAAACAAGGAAAGAAAGTCAGAAGAAGCAAACGTAGGCAGAAGAGATTATGATAATGAATCTGTGCTAGTGATGACTTCTGAATCTGATGATACGAATTTGACAGACTGGTGGTATATGGACACTGGCTGCTCAAATCATCTTACTGGAAATAAGAAATGGATGATTGACTTTGACTCTGGAAAGAGGACAAAGATCAGATGTGCTGATGATAAATACCTCAACGCTGGAGGTATGGAAAATGATAGATTCGTTCTGAACAATGGGAAAAGAACATTGATCCAGAATCTGTGGTATGTACCTGACATGAAAACCAATCTGATGAGTGTAAGACAACTAATTTAGAAAGGTTTTCCAGTTACCGAGATTTTCATTAGGGAGCATTGAACATTGTGGAGCTTTCCTTTCTGGAGCAACACCTTTGTGAGAGACACACCATATATTCACCCAAAACCTTAAGGTAATAGGTGTATGAGTTCTCCCACTTATAAATGCTTAAGTGTCCATATTTATAGCCAATGTTGGATTATTATCCATATTACTCACACTTGTTATACTTAACAATCCCCCTCAAGTGTGAGTATATCCACAATGCTTCCACAATGCTTCCCCTTAAGCGGAAGCTCTTTTCATCCACATACACTTGTATCACCATTGACACTCTTTAACAGGACACTCAACCTACCGCCTGTGGGGATACTTTCGATACAAGTGAGTCGATCCTTCACTCAAACACGTTCACATCCACACATTATCGGGGGAGATTTTCACTAGGCAGCGTTGAACATCGTGAGACTTTCCTTTCGAAAGCAAGACCTTTGTGAGAGACACACCACATATTCACCAAAAGCCTTAAGGTGATATGTGCGTGAGTTCTCCTACTTATAAATGCTCAAGTATCCACATTCCTATTCAATGTGAGACTATTATCCACACTACTTACACTTGTTATACTTAATAGTTTTTTGCGGTTTTGGTTTGTTTTGGTTCAGTTTGCGATTTTTTATTAGATTGGTTCGATTTTGAACACCCCGATATCATACCATCAAAATAATATTACTTTATAAAAATTAAAAGAAAAAAATTTAAGAAAATATTAAAAAAACCAAAACTTCACATACCAAAACAAAAAAGTCAAAAAAAAAATTAAAAATTAAAAACAAAACAAATATTAAAATTTAAAATTTAAACAAAATAAAAAGTACTCTTCTGATCTTAAATATCAATAAATGAAATCCAATATCTCAAATGTAAACAATTATTTTAATATAATATATTATTCCAAATTTACCCCTACATTAATTAATTACTTTTAAAAAATTCAAAGAAAAAAATAAAAGTAAAATACAAAAGAGTATATTTTTTAGGAGCTATGATATTTTTACATCCATTTTTTTATACCAAATACTTACACCAAACGCTGTTCATTGTATTTATACGATGAACAATATTTTTATTTTTTTAATAAATAAAAAATAATATTTATAATACGTGAACAATGCGTGAACAATGCATGAACAGTACATTTAAAATAGTAAAATAAAGTTGGTTAATGAAATATAAAAAATTGATTAATAAAGTGATGAAGTTGGTTAATGAACGTCTAGATGTTAAAAATAATTTTTAACAATAAATTAAAATTGGTTAATGAAATGTAAAAAGTTGGTTAATGAAATTATAAAATTGGTTAATACGCGTCCATAAATTAAGAATAATTTTTAACAATTAATGAAGTTGGTTAATACAATATATAAAATTGATTAATAAAATTATGAAGTTAGTTGATCACATAATTTTATGTCAATATCATTTAATTTAAAAATTAAAAAGAATATTATAATATTTTACTCTTCACCATATAGATGAACAGTAAAATACAGTATAAGTGTATCGTTTTAGTGTAAGAATAACATTATTTTTTAGTGGTGTGTTTTTTGACGAGAATATCTTTTAGTGATCTGAATACAGTAAAATAACTTTCTTAAAGAATGTATTATTACTATTATTTAACGAAAAAGTATTTTTTAACCAAAAACATATTCAGTGATAAAAACACCAAAACATATTCCACGAAAAAGCGAATGTAGCTTATTGAGCGACAACATTAAAGGAGGTAAATTGTTTTTTAACTAAATACTAGGTAAACCGTAAGAACGAAAAACATGCAGTAAAATGTCAAATAATCCACGGCATATCTAACTTGTTTTATTCATAAGATTCAAAACATTCCTTTTTGACAATTTTACCCTCAAAATCCCGACCCCATAACCGTTTCCTTAATTGACATAAAGGATAATCTCGTCTTCGCACAACCCACTTCAGTCTTACGTGTCTTAACATATCTGCTCATGTGCTCTGCTTCTTATACCTGACACACTCTAGAAACTCTTCTTTCTCTCTTATCCACCGTCCATTTCTTCATCCAACAGTTCTTATCATTTTGTAGCTACTCCATATCTCTGTCTCGGTTCTTTGTTTATTTAACCTTCATAAACCCTAACCCCACACACTCTCTCTCATCTCTCTCTCTCTCTGTAAGTCGCGTTCGCTCTCACTCTCGCTCCCTTTCCCGCTCTATCCCTCTCTAAACCTCAGTCTGTTTTTATCTCTTGTTAGATCTCGCACTGATTCATTTCTGCAATTGTATCCCATTCTCACTGATTCTATTGTTCCGATTGAATCTTGTTTTTGGTCTTACATAGAGTTCGAAGTTTAGGTTGAGTAATTGTTGTTGTTGTTGTTGTATTTGTGTATTCCATTTTTTTCTCCATATAATAGTCTTCATTTTCTGTGATTTTTCAATTCCGATCCAGAGTTTTGTTAAATTCAATTCGTTTTCGAGTTGAATTAACTCTGTGTAACTGTAAATTCAAACCTGTGAAGAGGTTGAATTGTGCAAAATGCCATCCTCTGAGATGAGACGAACGACCAGAGTGTTCGGGGTGGTGAAAGGCGGAGACACCTCCAGCGTGTTAAGGTCGGGACGGCGGTTGTGGCCGGATTGCGAGGAAGGAACCGGGAGTAAGAAAATTGGAGATGATTTGGCAAAGAAATCGGAGAAGATGAAAGTAAATGACTACGATAGCGAAGACGAGGACTATGTTGCTCTCATGGAGATTATGAAACAGAGAAACCTAAAGGATGATAGGTTTTTTGGGACAGTGTATAACAGGAAGAGAAAAAGGATTGTTGAGGGTGAAGATTGTGACGTTTCCGGGTTTCGGTTTTGTCGCGGACTAAGGATGATGATTGATCCGTCTGCGATTGTGGCAATTGTGAAGCCTTGTTCTGATGACATTAGTTTGTTTTCGTTTTTCTTGTTCGCAGTGTTGAGAAACTTTATGAAATTCGGACTCACATTCATGGATTTCTATGCTTTTGTTCTATCAGAACCCATTTATTCTGTTTATGCATCAAGAGGAATACAATTCTTACAGGTAAAAGTCATAGTTTTTATTTTTATTTTTTTATATTAATATTATTTTTCTTTTTCTTATTTTTTTCATACTTATCCCTACGTTTATTAATTTATTATTTATGGTAAAAAAACAGGGTTTTTTTTTTGTTATATTTTGGTACCGTAAATGGGTTGGATGCATGGATTCTAGATTTCTAATTCATTTAGATTGTTAGAATTTATTTATTAGCAAAATTAAATATATTATTTTGATTTCAATTTGAGATTATAGATTTCTAATTAATTGAGATTCCTAGGTTTTATTTATTTATTACCAAAGGTAAAAGTAAAAATAAAAATAAATTCCAGTATCTTTCTGCTGATTGACTTTACTGTTCCTATTTACCCTGTGATCTTGCATAACAGATTAATTTAATCTTCTTTCAGGGTTCTGTTACTCCAAGTGTTGGGATTTGCCAGTTATTTGGGGTCACACAGTACTTGCCATTGTTCTGTGTTGATTTTTCTGCTGTTCCTCTCTGTTTCAAATTTCTGCATTCTGCGTTGCTCTTAAGATATATCTTCAGGTCATGTTTTCTCGTATGCAATCCGGTAAATTTCTGTAGAGATGTCAAGAAGGAAATTGATCTTCCGGCTGTCGAGGAGGAAATTGATGTTTCAACTGACGAGGAGGAAATTGATCTTCCAGCTATCCTGATAGAACTAAGGAGTCTGTGCAATTCCTACAAGAAAGAAGCTTCTGAGAGTAAAACTATCAATATCACCCCTGAAGTTATTGTTATCAGCGATGATGACGATGACAATCTATCTTCTCATGAATCTGTTAAGTGTTCCAAGTCAGGCAGTAAAAATGTACAAAGTGAAAATGTGAGCTCTAACGTCGGTCAGACGAGGAGAACTTCACTTAGGATAAGGGAAGCTCAAAATCTTTCTATGAAGAACAGAAGTAACAACACATTACCTTCTGGTTCAAAGGGTGGACGTCTTATTGCCAAGGAGGATTCCAAAGAAGCAATTGTTCCATCGTATTGCTGTACAAATATACTGATTGTCGAAACTGACAAATGTTACAGGGTAGAAAGAGCCGTTGTCGTTTCTGAAGAAATGTCTGAGTCAAGAGAATGGCACCTCGCAGTAAAGAAAGATGGATTGACTTGCTGCACTCTCAAGGCTGAAAGGGTAATGAGACCGTGCTCTACCAATCGGTACACACATGTTAAAATGGTCTCACTTATCAACGGGTGGAAGTTAGAGTTTTCTAATCATCAAGACTGGATTGCTTTTAGGAATCTTTATAAGGACTGTTCGGAGCGTGAAATTCCAATTCCTGCTGCAAAATTTATTCCAGTACCAAGGGTCTGTGAAGTTCCTGACTATGCAGACAGTTATACTGCTCTCTTCAACAGACCAGATTATTATATATCTGCAAATGGCGATGAGTTTGAACGAGCAATAACAAGGAAAACTGGAAATTATGACATGGACTCAGAAGATGAAGAATGGCTGAACAAGTTAAATATTGAGCTTCAAGAACATGTTTCAAAGGATAATTTTGAGTCAATTGTTGATGCTTTGGACAAGACTTATCATTATAATTTGGATGATTGTTATGATGAAAAAACAATGATTTATTGGTGTCAGAATCCTGTTAACAAGAAGGTTATACAAGCTGTACATAATTACTGGATCAGAAAACGGAAACAAAAATATTCAGGGCTGCATAGGATTTTTACGGTAACTTTCCCATCATTCTATTGCATACTTTCAATGGTTGATCTAGAACATTTCAATGTTAACATCATATTTTGTCTTAATCTAAGTTTGCTGTGATATCAACCTTATCATATGACTGACATGCGTGTTTTAATTTATTGTGTCAGAGTTATAAATCAAAGATATCTCCATTTGTTCCCAAGCCGCCACGGCAAAGGAAGCGATCGTTTAAGAGACGCCCTAGTAACAGCCAACTTCAACGTGTTTTGCAATGTAAGTTTAATGATTTCATGTTGTTAATAGGAATGTACAATGAAAATTCCTCTAGTTCTGCCAAAACATAGTCAATTTGATTGTTGTGAAATTCTGGTGTCAACATAGATAGGTTACTCTATTCTATTGTTTCTTTCATTTTCAGCCATTACAAATGATCAAGATGTTGTGGATGAATATAGAAAAGCCTTTGCTAAGGTCGAAGCTGCTAAAGAGGCTGCAAAAAAAGCGATGGAAGTTGCAATACAGAAGCGCAAAAAAGCTCAATCTCTTGCGCATAATGCAGACCTAGCAATGTACAAAGCCACAATGTTAATGAGAATAGCAGAAGCAACTGGGGCTGGAGCATCAGCAGATGTAGTGGCACAACATTTTCTGAATTGACCGGTAGAAAACATTCCTTATGCTAATAATAATTAAGCCTTACACCCAATTGTTATTCATTTGTTTATTTATTCTCAATTGTAATTATATATATTTTTTACTTCTATTTGTATGTACATATTTTTTTTGGTTGAAACAGAATAAAAGATTTAATTGTGATTCCCGATTCTCTTTGAATTTACTTTTAAAACAAAATCTTTTAAAAAATCTTCAAGTAACATAGATTTTGTCAATTAAAATGATTGAAAAGTAAGCTATAGTTGGATTTAGTACCATAGGCAGACTAAATAATCACACTCAAACATGTTGCAAAATTTCATCTCGACACATTCACTTAAGAGACCATAGTATATGGTCATCTAAAAAAACAAAATGAAATAATGGTTAATTTAATGTTTTATTTGCATATAAATGGTTTTTAAAGTATGCCTAGATTTTTTGAATTTAAATTTTGTTATATTTATTAATGACTATATTAAAAAAAGTATTGTGCTATTGTTTTCATAATTTCTAAAAGGAAAAATGAAATAAAATATTATTTTGGATATTCCTTTTTGAAAAATTATGAAAAACATGAGCGAGGAGTAAATATATACCAAAAATAGTTTATTTATATATTAGGGTTATTATCGCATAAATTATAAAAATGTTGCATTAATTAACTTTATTTATCATTCTCAAACTCGTTTATAAAAAGTTAACAAACCGTTTGAAAAATGAAATAAAATAATATTGTTTTCAATATTAGTATACATTGGATAAATATAGATTAAAAAATTAACAAAATAAGACATTGACTTTTCACTAAAATATTTTGTAAAATTTAAAGAATAAATAAAAAAATATTTTTAAATTTAATTAGCTATCAACGATCATATATTTAATTTCAGCTTTTTTAATATGAGTTTTGTTTTGTTAATATTATTTTTTTTGGTTGATCGCAGATGCAGGAGCAGAATATGATGAATCAACTTGAATCAACTTGAATGTCAACGGTATTTGTAACAATAATACATGAGTTTGTAAGTGTTATTTTCATTTTAAAAAACTTGTTAGTGATCTTAATTATAAGATTTTATATCATTTAAAATATTTATTTGTTTTTGTTGGAATGTGTAAGAACTAAGAAGTACCATTCAAACATGTTCATGGAGTAAGTTTAATATTCTTACAAATTTCGCTTCTCTTGCTTATATATTATTACTTTGGTGGATTTTAACAATATTGTGAATGTATGAATTTATTGGTATCATTTCTTTTGTTTCTATTGAGTTTTCAAAACTCTTTTTGGTCCTACAATAATATTGTCTCCATCTTGATATCAACTTAAAGGAGTTTGACAATTACATTCCAATCGAGTTTCATACTCTATCAAATCAATGCTTACATGATAAATGATAACTGTTTTTCTAAGTAAATTCAATAATACATGGTAAATCATCCTAATTTCTTTGATTGTTTAATGCACAAACTCTTAATAAATCCTCTAAGATTTTGTGTCAATATTAATTTGGTGTCAAAAGTCTCGTGTAACACTCTCTAAAAATAAGAAGTGAACTTTAAATTCTCACCTGACACAATACTTGAATTTAATTTCTGTAAATTCAACCTCTTTAATATAGATTTCTACCAAATTTATCACGTTAAAGTTAACATGTACCAGCATAAAATGAGATGATTTCGTCAATCCATTCTCAATTATTTAAATAGAGTTAAAATAAGATAAATGTTCTTTTCAGACTTTTGATTTTATAGAGAGTGTAAAAGTTCATGTATAATAATATTGTGTCACCTAAAATAATTTGTCGGTGCACAAGTTGAAGAAGATGAAGATGAACGAAGAGAGAGAAAAATATAATAAATTTCCACTACTTTTGCAAAACAGTTACAAAATGGTTACTCCACTACATTGGTTATGCGCACTACTTATTGTTTAGTGTGTGTACAACTATTGACAGTTACACGAGTATATATACACAAACAAAAGTGTCACGGGGGCAACATGATAACCTACATTAATTAGGTTAAGCTTAATAAAAACTAATATTAATACTATTGAATATGAATTACTTCTAATAACATCCCTTAATTCATATTCAACTAATTAAAACTAACAACACCAATTTCATCCCTCAAGTGAAGAAATTGATCAGTCTTGATCGTTTTCGTCAGAACATCTTCCAGTTGCTTCTAGATGCTACAATGCACAACTTCTAGCACTCCATTATGAATTTGACTTCTCAGGAAATGATATTTTGTCTCAATATGCTTGCTTCTCCCATGCAGCACTGGGTTCTTGACAAGATTGATTGCAAAATTATTATCAATCACCAGTTTCAGAGACTTGTTTGCCTTTATCTTCAGATTTTACAGTAAATTCAGAAGGCAAACAGCTTGACATGCAACCGCAATACCTTCAACGATTTCAGGTTCACAGGTTTACAAAGCAATAATTGGTTGCTTCTTGGAACACCAAGAAATAGGACCTCCCAGATACGTAAACAAATATTCAGAAGTATTTTTTCTGTCAACTCTGTCTCCATACCAATCAGAGCCTGAAAAACACATCAACTTTGAGTTAGCCTTTTCTTCATAAGGGAACAAAAATCCATACTTCAGAGTCCCTTTAATATACCTCAGATTTCTGACAATAGCTTAGTAATGAGACCACTTCAGATTATTCATAAACATACTCACCATTCCAATTGCATAGCAAATGTCAGGTCTGGTATTACACAATTCTTAAGTCACAACCGCTCTTTGATTTATCCGAAGGAAAAGGTCAAAAGAGGGAAAACCTATTTTTGCATCGTAAACACAATGCGGGGAGAGATCTAGGTAAGGGGTTGGTTAAGCTTAGGGAAGGTACTAGCACCCTAAACTTCTGTAGTACTTTACAGGAACCTTTTGTTTATTGTATGTTTTTTTATTTTATTTATTATCTGCTTTAATATATATATATATATATATATATATATATATATATATATATATATATATATATATATATATATATATATATATATATATATATATATATATATATATATATATATATATATATATATATATATATATATATATATATATATATATATATATATATATATATATATTGAGCTAAGGGATAGAGTGACCTAAAAGACCTAAGGGTTAGTCCTAAGTTTACTCGGCAAGACGTCGCATCTTGTGCCTACGTATCCTGGATAGGGAATGAAATCAAAGTAATCGTAGTTCCCCTCGAAAGGGAGGTTAGAAACGTCTTGACTGTGGTCAAGGTTTCAAGGGGAGTAAACATATCTTAAGGACACGCTTACGTGGAGTCTTTGAAACTCCTATTTCTATGTTGAATTTGTTAATTGAAAATTACGGTTAAATTAGGTGTTCCACGGCGGGAAACCCTAAAATAGAGTACGACGACTCTTTGACCTAATGCTAGGGTAAATGACATTTTCGTCCACGGCAGGACGCCTAGGCTAATAAACGGTCAAAATTAGGGTTATTGACTCGGCGGTCAAACTGTTAATCCTAATTCCTTCGGAGGAAAATATAAAGGTAAAACATGCAAGCAAGGCAAAATACTATATGGCAGAAATTAAAATGCGGAAAGTAAAGAAAGCGGTAAAAAAAGCATCGCGACGATCACTCGTGTAAATTACAAATTCCCAAAAAATGCAAAATAAAATAACCGCGACCATGACCTCGCGTAAATTACATCCATGGAACAAAAATGAACAAATGAAATAATAACGAGTTGAAACAAACAAATTAACGAGGGTTAGACAAAAATGAAACGGCTAAATCAAAACTTATTTCTTTTTGAGTTTTTATTGAGAAGAGGAGAGGAGAATTAATTTCATGCTTAAATGGAGAAACTATTCTAATTATTTACTAAAAATTTTAATAAAGAAACTGGTTTTAATTTTAATGAAAAAATGTCTTGAAAAAACATGTTTTAATTTTACGAAAATAAATATTTTAAATTTTAATGAAAAAATTTGATTTAAATTCAACGAAAAAGGTTTTAATTTTTGTTTTAGTGAAAGAAAGGTCATTTTTTAATTTTTGTGTTAACTTAATGAAAAATGGTTTTAATTGGAAAAAAGCTTTAATTAAGAAAAACTGTTTTATTTAGAAATATGTTTTTAAATAAAAAATGGTTTAATTTTTGAAAAACCTTTTTAGAAAGATCTTAATTTTTAAAAAACTAATTACGTTATGTTTTTTTTTTGAAATAGCTTACCTAAACTTAATTGCATTATTAATTACAAACTACATAGTTAATATAAATGAAAAAAATAAACAATTGAATAATAAAATAAAAAAACAAATGAAACGTAAATAAAAAGGCTTATGCCGTTTTCTCCATGGATGACTATCGAAGCCTTTCCTCTCCTTCAATCCTTGCATGTCAATGGTTCCTTCTTCTATTTATTCTTCCCATTAATCTACAATCAATGAACAAAACAACACACAAAAATCATAAAATGCCGTAAATCAAAGGAAATAGAAAGCTTACGGTAACGGCGATGATGATGAACGAAGATCCCCTTGTCGTTGGAACTTTTTGCTCGCCGGTAGCGTTTGGCCGATGATGAATTCGAGCCTTTTAGGGTTCTTCCAAAAAAAATCCCCTCTTCTGATAAATCGTGAGAACGGCCGCCGTTTTTTCTTTTTTGTCTCCTTCCCCTTTTATCAAATGCAACTCATGTTTATATAGGTAACAAATTAGGGTTAACTCTAACCTAATGCCCACTTTAAAGCCCAACTTAAATAATTAGTCAAAGCAAAAAAAACAAACTAAAACAAACTTAAAAGAATAAAATCTTTTCTAATATTTTTAATTTTATGATTTTTGGATGTTTTTATGAATAATAGGGGAAAAAGTAAAAAAAAAATATTTTTTAAAAAATAATTTAAATAAAATACGAAAATGGAATTTGAACTCTCAACCTCTCACACTCACAACTCCTTACACAGGGTCTCTTGCCAATTGTGCT